ACACTCATTTATAAAATTATAATTCAAACCGAGTATTTTCATCAAAGTTTAAAATCTTCAAAATTTTGACAATTATCAATTTGAGGATGCTTTGTCCTAATTACGGTTAGCCTAGAGTTTTATAGCAATGTTCTATAACGTTTTCTTTCAGATCCCTGGCCTGGACGCCAAATTCATGGCGCGCATCGGCGGCAACCCCAAGCCGACGGTGAGCTGGTTCTTCAACGGCAAGCCCGTCGCCGAGTCAGCCAAGTACCACATGAAGCGCGACGACGACCACATTTGCCTGTACGTGAAGGAGTGCACGCCCAAGGACAACGGCACCTACACCTGCAAGATCGCCAACACTGCCGGCAAGGACATGTGCAACGGCGACCTGGAGGTGGTCGACAAGATCGACAAGAAGCAGAAGATGGAGGCGCCGTCGTTCCTCAAGAAGATCGGCGACTGCGAGGTGGTGACGGGCATGTCGGCCAAGTTCACGGCGTGCGTCAACGGCTTCCCGGAGCCCGAGTACGAGTGGTTCCGCAACGGCAAGCGCATCGAGGCGAGCGACCGCTTCATCATGGAGTCGGGCGGCTCCGGCCTGCTGCGGCTCATCGTCAAGGACACCGACCCCTCCGACGTGGGCACCTACCGCCTGCGCATCTTCAACCCGCACGGCGAGGCGTCCTGCGAGTCCGAGCTCAAGTACGACTGTAAGTATCGGGCCGCAGTAAGTATGACAACATGGACATGCAACCTACAACAACACGAGCAACGACGGCAAAACAGAAACAAGGACAATAATTAGGCAGGAACAAGGACAACAAAAACATGTACAAGGACAAAATTAAAACATGAACAAGGACAACAAAAACATGTACAAGGACAATATTAAAACATAAACAAGGACAACAGGAACAAGAACAAGGACAACAGGAACAAGAACAAGGACAACAGATACAGAAACAAGGACAACAGAAACATCAACAAGGACGACGACAACAACGACAACGTTTTAAACTAATTTTTTGGACAGCGCTGGACAGCACGGGTAAGCGCCCCATCGGCGACCAGTACCAGGACTTCAAGAAGGTGAAGACGAGCGGCGTGCCGCTGCCGCTGCCCAACGCGCCCATCATCAGCAGGATGACGGACAGGCGCCTGACGCTGTCCTGGAGGCCCAGCATCCCCATCGGGCCCCGGACCCCCGTCACGTACCAGGTGAGGACTTCACCATGACAAGTATATAATTGATTGGCAACGGTTGGAAATTTTCGGAAAATCCCTGAAAATTCTCGACATTTTCGGAAAAACGGGAAATTTCCCGGGGTCTGGGACCCGTGTTTTCCGGAAAATTTCCAGGGCTCCAACCCTATTGCTGATTCTGCGTCAACTCATTTCGGATTGAAATATGCAGTGACATGATACCTTGCTCCAGGTCGAGATGTGCGAGCTGCCGGACGGCGAGTGGACCACGGTGCGCACCGGCATCCGGTCGTGCGCGTGCGACGTGCACAACCTCGAGCCCTTCCGCAACTACAAGTTCCGCATCCGCGTCGAGAACAAGTACGGCATCAGCGACCCCTCGCCGTACGCCGTCACGCACCGCGAGAAGCTGGAGCCGCCGCCGCCGCGCTTCTTCCCCTACCTGGAGCCCGGCATCGACTTCCGCCCCGAGACCTCGCCGTACTTCCCCAAGGACTTCGACATCGAGCGGCCCCCGCACGATGGCTACGCACAGGCACCGAGGTGAGGCAAACTGCGTGACAACAAACGTCTCCGTGACGTCGTGCGCAGGTCGAGGCGTGATTTACTATAGAAAGCAGCTTACACTTTTTTTCTGATCTTTTCTGATTTTTTTTGTCTAATTTTCCTGACTTTTTCTTGATTTTTCTGCTCAGGTTCCTGCGCCAGGAGCACGACACGCAGTACGGCGTGAAGAACCACAACTGCAACCTGTTCTGGTTCGTGTACGGCTACCCCAAGCCCGTCATGAAGTACTACTTCAACGACGAGCTGATCGAGTCCGGCGGCCGCTTCGACCAGAGCTACACGCGCAACGGCCAGGCCACGCTCTTCATAAACAAGTACGATCGAACAACAGGGCCGGAGTGACTCCCGAAAGTTGGAGGGGTCGTTTAGAAACGCCGTTGACGTAAAGTGGGGGGTGGGGACAAATTTTATGGGATCCCAAAATGATCATGACGGTCATTTGTAGTCCAAGGAGACCTCATGATATTTTTACCCCTGGATACAATTATCATGGGGTCTCCTTGGGCTCTCCTTGGCTGCCCAGATTCTTTGGGACCTCATAATATTTGTACCCCTCCATTTTCACGTGTTTTCTGAACGGCACCGATGACCGATGTCGTCCTTTCTCACTGGCCTCGTCCCCGGCAGGATGCTCGAGCGCGACGTGGGCGTGTACGAGGCGGTGGCGACCAACGAGCACGGCGAGGCGCGGCAGCGCGTCCGCCTGGAGATCGCCGAGTACCCCGTGTTCATCAAGCGGCCCGAGGAGACCACCATGATGCTGCGCAAGGGCACGCGCCTCGAGGCGCGCGTCATCGGCGTCCCCTACCCGGACATCAAGTGGTTCAAGGACTGGATGCCCATCTTCTCGTCGGAGCGCGTCAAGGTCTCGTTCGTCGAGCCGGACACGTGCCACCTGCACATCTCGGACGCCATCAACAAGGACGAGGGCCTGTACTCCATCACGGCCTCCAACGTGGCGGGCTCGGTGAGCACGTCCGTCATGGTGCACGTCGAGGAGGACGAGCGCCGCTACTGGGACCAGACGTACATGCGGCCCAAGCCGGTGCGCGCGCACAAGGAGGTGCCGCTGGCCGAGGCCTACGACCTGGGCGACGAGCTCGGCCGCGGCACGCAGGGCGTCACGTACCACGCCGTCGAGAGGAGCACGGGTAAGCGGCACGGGGGGTAGTGACATCTCACGTAGTTCAGGGCTCGTAGCCGAGGGTTACTTCACTATAAATTCCAGCGTACTCATTTTTTTCTGTGTTT